CCCCAAAACCCCAAAACCCCAAAACCCCAAAACCCCATATTGCGAAACTTTAGTTGAATTAAATTTGACCAAAAGGTAAATTCACTGATTATAGAAAATAGTCTGGAGTCCTCTTTTCAGACTCAGGGATCTTCTCTGTTTGAGGAGCAGGCTCAAATTGGAGGAATGAGTACCTAAGATGCTCATTTATTTCCATAATTGCAGCATCATTCCCACAGCGGTAGCAATAGTTAGGTGCGGAGAAAATGGTAACAATATTTCTATCATGAGTCCAAGTGTAACCATTCATAACAAGTTGGTGAGCTCTGGCTGTAAGCTTGAGCCCATTAGCATGGTTCCATTGTTCTGATATATCTTGACCAAAGTGATAGCCTGCGCCTCTTATGGAAATCCCCCATCCACATCTATCATCAGGATCAGACCAAAGTAAGTCTGTCATTGGTCCTTCATGAGGTGTTTCTTGGATCCTATCAAGACTTTTGATTTGATCTAGAGTATCGATACTTGGGGAGAGTCCACCGTGTGTGCAAAAGATTTGGTCCTCAACTAGAGCAGTGAGTGGCATATAGTCGAATACATCACAAAACATTTTCCAGACATTCGGATTTTGATATTTCCTGATGCATTCATCATAAAATCCATAGACCTGAGACACCTGTTTGCACTCATGGTTGCCTCTGAGGATAGTAATTCTGTCCTTATACCTGATTTTAAAGGCAAGCAATAGCGAAATGGTCTCGACTGAGTAATAACCTCTATCAATGTAGTCACCCATGAAGAGATAATTTGTCTCTGGGAGGTCCCCACCAATTCTGAATAACTCAACAAGGTCTTGAAATTGACCATGAACATCACCACAGATAGTGACTGGTGCAGGGACGTTTACAATGTTCTCTTCTTCACTGAAGATCTCCTTTGCTTTGTTACAAAGAAACCTGATATCATCCTCCGGTAGGGCATTCTTCTGCTTGAGAGACTCGATGAAATTGTCCAGGATCCTCGTCTCTTTCATCAAGGAAGTTGTCATTTAGTGTTTAAATTAATTATAAAAATAACTTTTCGTTAGGATTAAATAGTGTTTTACTCAGAAGGGGTTTTGGGGTTTTGGGGTTTTGGGGTTTTGGGGTTTTGGGG